TTTTTGAAGTACTATTTAAAGCACGCGTAGGAGTGTTTTATCACATATAAAACACGACGCGTAGCGGAGTGTTTTATATGTGATAAAACACGACTACAAGTGCTTTAAATGGCTTAAGTTAAAAAACGACTCATCTTATACGAGTTCATTGGCGAAGTAATTTTTAAAATAAACTTTGTCTAAACCGAAAAAATCAAAGCTATAAAGTTTATGTAAATTAACATGATTTTTTGTCACATATAAAACCACGACACGCTTATGATTTTTCTTTGTGTTTTGCTCCTGAATTATTAATGAGTTTTTTTAAAGAGATTTCGAGCGCTGATAAAACTGATAATCTCACATGTGAGATTATTTATGATAATTTCACATGTGAAAATTATCGCTTTTCTGTAAAAATTATCGCTTTTCAAAGACTGTCCTTTATATAATAAACAGAAAAGTACATGGGTGCTTGGAAATACCAGATTTATTTCTCATGTTGAACAAGATATCTCACTCGTTCGCTGCGCTCACTCGTGAGATATCATGTTTGACACTTGAAATAAATCTGGTATTTCCGCGCACCCATGTATTATTCTCTAGATAACGTCCATGCTTATATGCCTGGCGAGATTGGTATCAAGTTCATTTTATTTTTGGTGTCTGTTATCTCAAAATAGGTCTCAGAAGAGCATTTTCTGTGATTCCTGAAACGAATTTTGCTCAAAGTTACGACGAAGATTTTGTAATGTACTTTGTGAAAACTTATCCCCCAGTTTTGAAACAACATCGCTCTGTATACAACTACAATCATAAATTATGGTTTTGTTCCTATTGCTATGCTGTATATACACAATGTCAATGTAACGACAAATTATTACAGATGTGCATGTTAATTGTAATTTTCTTTGCAAGAAGGAAAACGAATAATGCAATGGAATGAAGTACAATCCTGGTTGAAGTACAACCCTGGACGACGCCCTTATTACTTCTATTGCCAACCTGCTGCACACATATTTCTCTTAAAAATCATATAGCTATAAATATATTATTATGATAAAGAGACAAATAGTACCCAGAGACAAACTACTCATTAAGTTAATTAATTAATTAGAATTAATGAATGCCAATATGCTATAATAATATGTTTGCAACAATTAAGTGAAACACCAAATAGGTTGTGTTCTTTTTCCTTTTAATTTATTTCTTAAGATGGTAGCCACATATAAAGTGCTAAATTTAGCCAACAGTTAATATTTTAATAGCGTTTCCGCTGTAATTATTCTTTTTCCTCTTTAGAATATCACTTGGTCGTAATTTGTAGTATTGAGAATGAGGAAAAGTCAAACATGGTTGCTTCCTTAGATCAGTTTCGTCGCCAATTTCCCCCTCTCGCATCAATGAGAGGTATTCAGAACTATTTAAAAGAGCAGCTGATTGTTTCAGATGCGAAAATCGTGGCCGATATTCAGTGGGCACCAGCAGCCATTGTTGACAGGGAAAAGTGAGTGTTGTAAAACTTGTGCGTATATATAGTGTACAGTATAGTGTACACTGTAAATTTTGTATAGAAAGTACTAAGATTTGAATAAGAACACTCCATGTCCCTTTTCATTTATATGTTATGCGTGTACTATAAAATAACTCATATTAAGCGCCATAGTAAATAGCCGAAAATTTATCAATTATCTGATGTGTTGAGAAAAATTATAGTCTTTTGTAAAAGCGTATTTTCAAATAGAAGTACTTGATGACAGTACACATGCGTATACCTAACTGCACGAAGAAAAATTTATCAATGTGTACACTTGTACACATGTAACGGCTTATTCTGTCAATTGAATTCTTACATATGTTTGAAAGCACTCCGCAAAATGTGCGTACAATGTACTAATCTAGTTAATCTACAATTACAAAAACTTGCCATGTTTATTGTTTATACTTTTATTATAAAGCCTATCTGTTCGTGTGGTCCAGTCGTCCAGAGCTGGTATGGGAAAAAGTTTGATAGTAAAGCACTTGGCAGAACGATTGGCTCGCCTTCCAAATAACAAAAAGCTTCGCGAAGGCTTAGTGTTGTCGTTATGTCCTACAATTCCTGTACATGGGATCTCTGTGGATGGTGATCGTGTTACCCGTACTCTTCTTTCCCATGCTGTCAAAAGAGATATTCCTGTTTCAAGGATTTTTCATCTGGACGTGTCTCAGTCGGTAAGTAGCACACATTGTGTCATCAAAGCCATATCTGTATTTCACTTGAATGTTGAAAAAATTTCGTAATTGTTAAATTAAGTATGGTAACGTTAAAGCGGATATATCATACTAGTTGTTGAACTAATTGATGACTAATAACACGCACCTTTAATAAGGTCATTAACCAAAAATTAATAGTTTGTCTTAATGGAAAAAAATAACAAAAAATAACAATTAAAGACGTTTTACAAAATTTTTAAGAAATTAAGCAAGAATCGAGCTTGTCTTGCTATCTATTTTGACTAAAAACAGTGAGCTGTTCGCCATCTTGGTTTACCTCACAAGTGAGTTACTAAGAAGTAATTTTGTGAGGGTGATGAGGTAAGACTTAATCTAAGATTGACAGCTCGTCGCTTTCAGTTAAAATATTTCAGGAGTTAAGCTTCATATGAAAATCTGTGACAAGATTTTATATAATTTGAGATGTTTCAAATGAAACCAACTTTATTTTTATTGTCAATGCCGTTTGAAGCAACAAATAGACTTCGATCATTGCTTATTTTTCCCGTTAACGTCAAAACGAGCTTATTGAATATTCGTTAAAGTACATTCAAGATGACGGCGAAAAACAACTAGTAGCACTTGTTCAAACAGTAGCTAGTCAACTTGTTAATAATATTGTATCCCTGAATGCCTCGTTCATGTTGTGCGGCACTTTGAGAATCTAAGGAAAACGGAACTGGCACATCATTTCACCGGTTCACCAAAGAAAACGATTTACGGGAAAAGTGGCTTCTCGTGATACAAAGAAAATAGGCTGTTGCGGTCTTTGGAAAAAAAACGAAAACCGATATCGGAAAAAAATACCGATATATCGATATATTTTCGCGATTGTATTTTGCTTAATTTTATGCACATTTGCTTAATTTGATGCAAAATTTTCTGTTTTTAAATGATGCCAAACAGCCACGATATAACAGCTTTGACTCATCGAGTGCGTGATATTTTCCGTAAAATGTGAGGCCAGTGATCAGTATAGCCTGTGAAATTCCGCTTTAGGAATTGAAAATGCATATTAGCATTGATTACCGCACTGGATAATTCATGCGTGATATTTTTGACCGCGAAATTTGTTTCAAAACATGTTATTCAACTGCAAATTAGAAACAAAGATTGTCCTATCACACCAGATAAACAAAGTCCAATGAGGTTAGTTTTTGTTTTTTCTAAAACATTTTGTAATCCATCGTTTACGTTCTAAAAGTTCACCTTTTGAAAAGCACGTTGGTTGCACGAACCTTGTTTTTCAGCAGCACAAGAACATTTCACATCTTGCCTAAGTTGAAAGACTGTGTTATCATTTCACTCAATTCCTGTGATGGAAAACAAGAAGAAAAACTGCCTGGAAAGGACGGGAAAATAACCAGTAAAGTCTATTTACTGCTTTAAACACTCCAAACATTATTCATATTCAAATAATCTGCAAAGACGTTTTAGATCTTTTCACCTTTCTCTGATAGATTTTTGCAATCAAATCGACTAGAACGAAATAAAGATAGCTCCCTACAGATTTTTGAAGCCTGGAAAATTTATGTTTTAAATAATCGTTCATTGTTAGAAAACAGAAATTTTGTGACGATAGTTTTAACTTCGAAATTTTGTCCAGAAAAATGACGTAATTATTGTCTCTATGACAACTATGGCATTTTAATATGGCCATCTTTTAGCGTATGGAGGGTCATATGTCGAGGTCGAGGGTCGAAAGTCGAAGTCGAGGGTCAAAAGTCAAGGGTTGAAAATGGGAAATATTTTTTTATTAATACATTTCTAGAACACTACATTATTCGCATTTGTTATTTTGTTGTCAAAATTTTAAAGGTTTTCCGGATCAATAACTTTATTAATGTTAGTACAGAACAATGCCTTAGGACATAATTAAGTTCGTTTTTGTTTTTCAAGAAAGTGGAAAATTACTGTAAAAACGGTGATGAGTCGAGAATATATTGCATTTTATTGCACTATATATCAGAATGAATCGAGTCCCAGTGCATTACAGCAAAAATCACTCACAATGGTTGGGATGGTCGAAATGGTCTATATTATGAATATGAAACTGTCAATCGAAATTGTGCACTTCCATTGCAGACATGTAAACACGATGTCATAAATTATATAAATATTAACTGTTTCTCACACACCCTAACGCTTTAAACCTCCAAAACCATACGGGGTATGGGGAGTATCGTTAAGTTGAAGTTATGAGCAATTTCAGGACTCTGTCGCCGCCAAGTCCCAAGAGATAACATGTCATATTACTTATCCTCGTGTGAGCGAAACGCCATTTTTGTACCATCGCCCATGTTTGTATATTTTAAACTCCAATGTAAAATAAAAGATGTATACTTTCAAACATCAAACCTTGCATCAGATTTTTAGTTGCACAAGCGATCGAAACTTTCAGTATACATAAGTTATAACCTTTGGCGAACTTTTTCAATTTTGACAGCAAAACTAATTGTTTTGCCGCGTTTGCAAGCTTTCAAAATAATTGTAGAACTTTTAAAATGGATAAAAATGTAGTATTTCAACCCTCGACCTGGACTTTTGACTTTCGTCCTTTGACCCTCGACGTATGACCCTCGACACTCGACAACTACCCAAACTCAACTTACTTTACTCAAAAATAGCTTGATTACTTTCATTTTGTTATTTCATCATTTTTTTTCACCAAATTTGCTCAGCACAAAGCCTCCAAAAGGTCGAACGGCAATCATTATGTTCTAAAAATGTACTAAATAGAAATTGTGTATTCAGGCTTTCTAGAGTAAAGAAGGTTGAAACTTGAAAGCCAAAATACCGGCCATATTCAAACTTCATAGTTTTTTCTTTCAAACATTCATTAAGGTTGTAAAAGGACTGGACAGTTTCTTGTTCAAACTTGTTATCTTGCGAGCTGTGAAAGATCATAGTGGAAATGTCTGGAGAAGAAAACCAACTGATATGTATGTTGTTGAAATTACAACAGACAAGTCGTTTGGGACATTAACAACTGAGGATGCTGTATCAAATGCAAACTACAGTCAGGTAAAAGTTTATTTTTTATTTTTTTATTACGCCCGTAAAAAATATCAAGTTATTTACATTTATTTTTCTATTGTTTTGGATAGGCTAGGAGCCTTTTAGAAACCTACTAGGCTTTTTAATTAAGACCCCTATAGACTATACTTACATTATTTCATTCTATTTAGTCAGTTCGAATAATATATTAGATTGAACAAAGATAAAAGCGTATATAACAAGTATAAAATAAAACATTAACATGCATATAAACTTAATTATATATATTCGAGGTGGAGGATACATAGTGATATATATAGTAATATATGTACATTTACAGTAAAGAAAGTGATAATATATTTTAAACCATTATACATCAATTGTTGAATATATAATGATTTTTTATTTTAATTTTAAAAGTACTATAAGAGAAAATAGATTTGTATTTAGATGCTATGTTATTCCAAACATCGACTCCTTTGTTAGAAAGAGTATGGATTACATAATTCGTTCTTTTATAAGTCTTGTGAAGCTTAGTTGCATTCCTTGTGCCATGGTCATGTATTTTATTATTGGGTATGAAATAATTTACGAATGTTTCTGGTAAATTCTTCAAATTATGGTATCGAAACATAAATAAACTTGTTAGGTATTGATTCAATTTATAAATGCTTAGTATTTTTAACTCCTTAAATATTGGTTCGGTATGTTCAAAGTAAGAGTTAAACGTCATTAGACGAATTGAATGATTGAATGATTACATGCATGCACTTTGGTAAGCCGAAACATATGGTGGAAGCGTTCACGTTTCCACAGCCAAACGATTGGCTGACGTAGTAATTTTGTATTGTATATAAGCACTGGGAAATATTTAGCAAATATTCTGTAGTGAATATATCCAACAAATTTTCATGTAATTTTCAAAGTAGCTTTCAAATTTAAAAAGAATAAACTTGCAATCCTTCTGCAAAATTCTTGAGTGCCTTTTTCCTTAAATTTCCACAGAATACGAGAAAACAACTTGCAACAAGCAAGTATTCGTTTGTAAAATTTCTTCCTCGAACACGCTGCTTAACACCCAGAGAAACGTTAAACAACATACAACGAAAAAAGAAAGGTAAGGGTAACCATTTCCTGTGCGAATTATTTTACCCAGCTAGTTTATGAAGCGAACTTTTATTCGGAGCTTATTTCGTAGGCTATAATATTTTATGAAGTAACGATATATTTAAATTAAATTAAATTAAATAATGAATTAGAAACCCTACATATAATTCTGTCTGGATGTTGGGAAAACGTAATACCTGATTATTTGATCTCTTCAGAGGTAATCACAATGGATCTCGAGAACCAGAAATTTCAAATCCACATTTCAGATTTAGCGCATTTCGGTCTTTCAGAATATTACCTCAAAAACTCTGTTATAAAGCACATTAATTTTATGCAGATTTACAATTTTTGGAAATAAATTATCGTATCATTGCATTGGAAGGTTTGAACATGAAAGGTGTAGAATAGGTGGGAGGAGCAATCCCCCAGTGAAATACCACTTCCACTACTCTTATTGTTTTTTTACTTATTCGGTGAAGCGGAGCTGGACCTCAACGTATTGAGTTACAGAACTGCGTAAATATGCATATTTCTCTTAAAAAGATTTAAACAGCAATAAATGGCAATATATGGTCAGAGTAAGCTAGAATTAATAAAGTTCGTTATCGAGTTCCGAACTCAGGGATACTTTGCTTCTACTCACTGCGATATCATGATATCTTTAACAATTTAATTTTTTGCAGGAGATACAGGATTTGACATGGAAAAGTTCCGCAGTGAAGAATACCAACGAACATTTCAGTATCTTACGCACTTTGCAGAAGGATCAAACTTGGATCAATTTTCGTTTAGATACGTGCCTTCTTACTTCAGCGTCGGTGACCCAGTCGATGCTCTGACAATTATAATCAAGTAAGGCTGATTTAAGCTGGTTTGACAACTTCGTGGATGTTCATATGGCCCATATGTTTTATCGGGTGTTCTTTTTAATTTTTTTACAATATAGTTTTGGTATCACATAGTTTGTCGTTATGGCAACATGCACACGAGTGTGAAGTTTACTTTTGAATTGGTCATTGTTTATAGTGGGGGTGGCACCGAAGAGAAAGGGATTGGGTAAACAAAATTTTAAGTGAGTGAAAGGTTGGGTAAATGAAAAGCAAACCAACTCAAGGGTTGGGTAACAAAAATTTATTGTCATTTTCAAAGCACGATTCACTCAAATATTGGAAACTAAAAAGCAATGTCAACAGTCACATGTCAACACAATATGTAAATCAATCAACAATATGTAAATCAATCAGAGTCATTTCCCGATTTGCAGGGGGGATAGTGTCTCCAAATACATGTGTAGATTACATGAAACTTCAGAAAATTCCACAAGCAGTTATCTAACTTATATCACAGAAGTGGTAGAGGACATGTATGACAACTAAATATATATAATAATGGTAAGAATTCAAGCGGTTTCATTGGTCGAGAGCCATAAGCTATTACAGGACAGACGCACGGAATTACGTCACACAAAACCTTATCCAATAGCATTGCCTTATTTGTATAGATCATGCACAGGCTTTAGGACCAATTCAATTTGACAACAATAGCATTCCATCTAAGTAGCAGTTAAAATAATGTGTACGGCACCTGAACTGTTCAATATCTTGCTTGACAGTGTTTCTAAATCCATAAATACATTTACATATTATACATTTACATACAGTATTAAGTGTTTCGACTTTTTCAAATTTCTAAATGTTTGGGTGGATAAAAAGTAAACTATTTACATGTTTAATTAATATTTGGGGGTTTTTATTATATAAAGTGAGTGGGTCACTTTTTTGTTCTTCCCACTTTATGATGTCATATAGCTGAACAGACAACGGCAACATCTTTACTTTTTAATGGTTGGATCAGCAAAATTTTTCCCTAGAAATGCATTTCTCTTCGGTGCCACCCTTCGCCATAAATAATGGCCGCGGTCCGTTATTGCATAGTGCACGTAGTAACAGAAACACTAAAATGTTATCGTCGTCAGCTATTGACATACAGCCGCTATACAGGGTTAAATGTCCGCTAAACAGCAAATTCCGCAATATTTTGTGAAAACTTTATGGAAGGATGGGTAGTTTGGGTAGTAAAAATGGCTTGCGCGCAAAAAATGGCTTAAAACGCAATTTGAATTAATAGGGTGCAAATCTTTAACATGTGTTAGGCTAGCGACACAGTGACTTAACTAATTGAAGTATATATAGGTATATATCTTGGCTTATTGTTTTACTATAGTCATGCACCTATCACCTTACAGATTGTGATAGGTAATGTATTTTGCTCGCAAATCTATAGAAAGCTCTAGACAACGCTCTGACGCTCCGGTTTACTCCGTACCGGGCAAGTTTGACACTCTGAGATAAGGTAATTAGAAAAGGATATTAAATAGTTTAGGGAAGTAATGAAACATACATCAGAACTCATTTAGAAGCTGGCTTTTGTTTTTTAGGTACTGTGGAATCCGTGATCCATCTTGGGCAGAACTTTATCATTTTGTAAACTTTTTGAACATCCAGCTGCGTGATTGTGAAGAAAGCGTTTTCTGTAACTCAGAGCTAGTTGGCGATCTTTTGCAAGGTTTTAGGACATTTGCAGTTCGTTTCATGATTCAGATGTCTCGTGTAAGTTTTCCTTTTTTATTTATTCTTAATTATATGGTTCAGATACTACGAGCGCGATGTGATTGGCTACTGCATGCGCGAGCCATATTCTGCAGCATGTTCTAGGTTGATATAGAATTTTTATAAGTAATAGCATAAAAAGAAGCGAATTAGCTATTAAAACGTCCCGCCCGATGAGGGTCGTTTAGTATAATTCCCTTGGGCGCCGCTCGATGAGGGTCATTTAGTAAAATTCCCGAGGGCCGAAGGCCCGAGGGAATTTTACTAAATGACCCGAATTTTACTAAATGACCCGAATGGCAGGGCCATTAAAAACCAATTAAAAATAAATATTGGTATAAATTAAATGGTATAATTGTTTTCCCTGTCTTTGTTTAGTTTTGGCGATTTCAGATATCTTCATTTATATTCATTTTTTCTAATCGTACCCGCTTTGACGTCGTTTCGGGTAGGATTAGAACTAATTCTACCTGACATGACGTAAAAGCGGGTAGGATTAGAAAAAATGAATATAATGAGGTGTATTAGTTATTAATTGCCCTGCGAGAACAAAGGGAATACCTGTAATCATGATATTATACATTATAACATACTGTACGACGATATAACCCTGAGTAAGCAATTTGATGTACAGTACATACGTTCACTAAAATCACGAGGTAGAATTTTCGTTAACTGTCGTTTTCATGATGCTGCTTCACTTGTTTCCTTGATCGTAACTCGGAAAATTAATACTCGATTGTTTCTGCTTTGACTTATAGGTTGTACGAGAGGGGCAGATTCTGTATACTTAGCCTAGTAATCGTGCAATTTCCTAGGCCTGCCTGCCTGCCTGCCTGCCTGCCTGCCTGCCTGCCTGCCTGCCTGCCTGCCTGCCTGCCTCGGTATAATGTATTTTCTACGATATTAATATTGATTAGCAAGAGAAATTATTAGCATGGCAATATTGATGTTTTTTTCGACGAGGCAAACGAGTTCCGCGTTTATTTTGAATATATTTGTTACTTACATGCGATTCAGTATCAATTTTTCTCACATTTGTAGTATATTGAAAGCAGTTAGTTTCAGATTGAAATTAGTTTCATTAAATATAAATTGCATGGGGTAGGGTGCAGGTCCGTAGCTGAGGGTGCGACAGTGCGACATTTCTCACACCAATATTTTCACAAAATATATTTTATCTTAATCAGGAATGCCGGAACCATGGGTGCAGCGGGTGCAAGTGCACCCCATGCCTTTTGTATTCATAACTTTTTGGGTGCAATGTGGGTGCAGACTATGAGTGCAACGGGTGCACAAAAAATTTAAAACGATTAGATGTATCCCTGTGCTAAAACTATTAATAACTGAGAACAGATTTATGTCTCACAGCTTGCTGGAGGAGCAACAGGAAATGCTTGTGCTCGCGGCAGGGAAAAAACTTAACGTAATCAAATACTATGGAATAATAGTAGATGAGGCCACAGATATCTCGAAGTTGGAACACATGTCCTTATAAACATGGTACTGTACCGACGATTATGAAGTATTTAGGAATTTAGCATTTATAAATGCAGGGAGGGTGTTTACAGATGCTCCAAGGATACTGTATCTTGATAAGGTTTGAACTGCATGGATGCGAGCAAGTTAGTTGGAATGACATTTGATGGCGCAACGGCAATAAAATCTCTGACGAAGAAAGTTAAAAGTAAAATGAATGAATCAGCCATTTTTATTCACTGCTTAGCATATTGCCAAGAACTATAAGATGCCACCAAACATTGCTCAGCTTTGGAGAATGCCCAGTCACTATGTGAAGACCTGCAGTGATTGTTGGAATCTCTACCAAACGTGTGACTCTATTTGCTAGTTCTGTGTGTTACATGTGTACTGCTAACTGCAAGTCTCGACATGTCTTGTTGATGTTATTATTAAGAACTGCATTTCTGTATATGTGTGTTTTTGTGGCAGCTTGTGGAATATGTGATTTGGTGTGGATGCGTATCAAGCCTATACTCAGAAATTTTCTGAGCCCTAACGGGAATTGAACCACGTAAAATTTCTGAACCCTAACGGGAATTGAACCACGTAGCTCAATGGTTAGAGCGTCTGTCCGGTTATCAGAAGGTTACGTGGTTCAATTCCCGTTAAGGCTCAGAATTTTTCTGAGATACTGTAGGCTTGATACGCATCCACACCAAGTCACATGTTCCACAAGCTGCCACAAAAACACACATATACAGAAATGCAGTCCTTAATAATAGCATCAACAAGACATGTCGAGACTTGCAGTTACGTTAGCAGTGCACACATGTAACACACAGAACTAGTAAATACTAAATAATGCCTATACTCAGAAAATTTCTGAGCCCTAGCGGGAAATGAACCACGTAAAATTTCTGAACCCTAACGAGAATTGAACCACGTAGCTCAATGGTTAGAGCGTCTGTCCGGTTATCAGAAGGTTACGTGGTTCAATTAGGGCTCAGAAATTTTCTGAGTATAGGCTTGATACGCAACCACACCAAATCACATATTCCACAAGCTGCCACAAAAACACACATTCTTAATAATAACATCAACAAGACATGTCGAGACTTGCAGTTAGCATGTAACACACAGAACTAGTAAATAACGTAACCTTGGCTCACCATCTGATGCCTTATAGCTCAATGGTTAGAGCGTCTGTCCGGTTATCAGAAGGTTACGTGGTTCAATTCCCGTTAGGGCTCAGAATTTTTTTGAGTATAGGCTTGATACGCATATATATATATATATATATATATATATATATATATATATATATATATATATATATATATATATATATATATATATATATATATATATATAT